CAAAGGCATTGTGTTCAGGGAAAGAAGCCAGCCTCAGAAGGTTACATACTGTATGATTCCACTGATGTCACCTCAGAAAGACAAAAGGGCCATGATGGAAAGTAGAGTTCTTTTGCCAAATGTTAGAGATGAGGAGTTTGTGACTACAAAGGGACATTAGGAGGAAGGTTTCTGGGTGATGAAACTGTCCTTATTGTGATGTTGGTACTTCCATGAACCTACACATGTGGCTACACATGTGGTAAAAGTCATAGAACTAAACACCAAAACAATATCAAATTTACCATACGGCAATTTAAAAAACAAAACCAATTAAAAGAGTAAGTCAAGCCATGTAACATCCTTACTTGAAACCACTAACTAAGAATAGAGTCCAAACCTCTCTCTATAGCCCATGAGTCCCCACCAGACCTGGTTCTGGGTACCCCTCTAGTTATACCTTCTCAAACTCTCCCCCTGCTGAAATAGCAACTCCTCAAAGACCTTTAATGGACTTTTCTATAAGGGCCTCTTCCTATGCCCTTACACTGTTTTATTTTTTCCTCAAGGCCCTTGTCACTGACTGACATACCATAATGTAACTATTTTGTGGTTGTTTTCCATTCCTCATCAGAATATAAGATCTACAAAGGTAGCGATCTTGTCTGCATTGTTCATTGATCTATTCCCAGAACGTAGGATGCTGCCTAACACAGTATAAGAACTCCATAAATATTTGTTAAATGGATGAATACATAAGCCCAAGGAATGAAAATTCAGTGAAGAAATCCACAATGCTTTGAATCTGGAGCCATACTTTGGCTTCTGTAGCACCCCTCAAATTATATGCCCACTTGGCCCCTGAGTAAGTATCCCAGCCCAGAATATTTCAATTAGCCCTTGGGGTTTTAAAAATGTAGGGGCACCTGGGTGCCTCAGTGGGTCAAAGCCTCTGCCTTCGGCTCAGGTCATGATCCCAGGGTCCTGGGATCTAGCCCCGTATCAGGCTCTCTGCTCAGCAGGGAGCCTGCTTCTTCCTCTCTCTGCCTGCTTCTCTGCCTGCTTGTGATCTGTCTGTCGAATAAATAAATAAAATCTTTAATAAAATAAAATAAAATAAAATAAAAATGTATTAGGCACAACATATCCCTTCTGAGTGCAGCTTTCTGATGCTTGGTTAGGTGACTGCCATGAAGATGAGCTAGGAGGGGACAAGGCTGCAAGCAAATGCATTCTTAGAATAATGTCACATAAGGCTTCCTGAAAGTTTGTACAAAGCTATATAGAAATGCTACTAATGTGGGCAGAGAAGTTTGAGGTGAGAGTGAAGGGGGAAAAAAAACCCAACACCTCTCTGTAACATCTTTGGTGGAGAATAAATAAAGTAGCCATTTATAGAACATCTACTCTATATATGTTCAGACACTCTCTAAAGGTTCTCATTTAAGCCCCCATCCACTCTTCAAGGTGGGGTTGACTGATCACATTTTCACAAGTGAAAAAACAAACATGGATTGGTTAAGTAACATGGGCAATGACACATAATGATAGGTAATGGCTAGTTTTTTGAATTTAGGTCTGTGAAGCTTCCAACCTCATTCTTTTTCCACTTTGGATTTTAGAAACAGTATTCAGGGGCAAGAGGGTGAACACTGTGGGGAGAAGCCAAACAAGACTGGCTTCAGATAGGAAATGGCAGCCTGGACACAGGTGGCCAGGTTCTTCTCTAAAACTTTTGAAAGACCTGCATAGACAAGTATGCTAAAGCAAGATGCTTATTTCCCTTCAGTAAAATTATACTGAGCATCTATTCTGTAACAGTTCCCAGGTTCAAGGTTTCCACTACATTATCTCATTTAATTTTCACTATCATTAAAAACAAACTGTTAAACACATTTAATGGTATTAGAGACTGGTTATCCACAGAGAACAGCATTATACTTATAAGCAAGCAGGACACTTGAGAATTCTCCATCCCCTACCCCATGGAGGTGAGAAATTTAGAGTTACCTTAAACACAGAACAGTAGGAAGACCCAAACAACTACAGATAGGCTTTATGTTGCTACTTCTCTTAGTCTAAATCAGTGTTTTACACACTAGTTAGCATATGAATTACCATTTAGGGTTGCATATATAAAACCACATTAACGCAATTTTTTGGCAATTAAAATACTGTCAACAGTTATTTTGGCTATGAATGATTTCCACCCCATACTATGGCTTTGGACCCTAAAGACTAAGATGCAGCTCTGTTCTAGTCCAGGCCTCTTTTCATTTACTCCTGCTTACAAATAATCAAGAAATCTTAAGTCTACAAGGGGCATTAAAAGCTACCAAGTGCTACTCTTAGCTGGGGGCAGTAATCCCTGAGGGTTACCACCCTCTTCTGATGACAAGGGTGTGGAAGGTAGGACGGACCCACTGAACAGCTCCTACCATCAGTACATTTTTCTTCTATTTAACTGCTATCTACTCCCCTTCGACTTTCACCCATTGCTGCTAATTTTGCTCTTCAGCCCAGCAGAATAATTATAACCCCTCTTTCCTATGATAATCATTAGGATGTTTGAAGCTTGGTGTTAAGAGGATACTTTCTTAATGTTACAGTGACCAAGGAAGGAGTCAAGTATCTGCATATACTGTAATAACAATAACAATAATAATAATAACTGTAATAATTACAGTTTTTAATAAAAACTGGATGGTTTTTATTTCTGGGTGTAAATCTCAGCAGTCCAAGATACTGACACCTACCTCTCCATTAGACAGCTCCATTGATTAATTAAGTTCCACATTTTGGGAAACATGCAGCTTAGTTGGAAAGACAAAGAACAGAGACCACATATCATACAGCAAGTATTCTTATAATGGTATAAATTAGGTGCCAGCCACACACACAGTAATAGGGGCAGGGTCCCACCCAGCTCATCCTGCAAGAGAGATCACTGACCTGTGAGTTAGACTCTCATGAAATACAGCTTGCATCATGAGGCTCCTGAAAGAAACTGACCAGGTCTCATACTTAGCTTGTTTACCACCATCCTTTCATGGTTCAGACACCTGCCACAATGCCAAGTGCAGGTTAAGTGTTCAGTGATTCTTCAACCCACTGGCACTTCAAAGAGGATTGGTAAGAATAGACAAAGGTAAGAATAGCTAAATTCAAATGATCCCAAATTTCTCAGATGAAAGTATTTTTAAAAAACTTATTAATAACAATATACCTTCAAACACCTAAGTCAAGGAGTCTTGGTCTCCATCCCGGCTATCTACCGACTCACTGAGTAACAGGGAACAAGTCACCTAATTTCTCTGGACCTCCGTTTTCTCAGCTATAAATTGAGGGACCTGGTCCAAAAGATTGTAAGGTCCTTTTCAGACCCAGGGTCCCCTAATTTTCTGCTGTCCCAGATATTAAATTGGATAGTCCACATTAATCTGGCTGAAATAGTCAATCTTAAAATCAGTTCTTGATCTGAAGTAGAAAGAAGAACATGCATGGAAGCAAAGGAGGGTAAGGATTCCAGCTCCAGCCCTTCCAGTATCCTGACATGCACCACCATCCCAGTATGGTCACAGGCACAAATACCAGTCTCAGCATTTACTGTATGATGATCTTGGGTAATTTCTTATCTGTAGAGTGGGGTTAATTCCATGTACTCTAGGGCTACTGAGGGAGTGAAATGAGTTAAAACATATATACAGCCCCACACTTAGAGGACTCATGCTGCATATTCCTTTATTCAAAGATTCTTTACCTATCCAACCCATTTAATCAATAGCCTCAGATTACAAAGGCTTTTTGCAATCCAAAGCACAAACAGCCAGAGCTATGAGGGCTCTAAAAGTCAGCTAGTTCAACTCTCTCCCGCCCCTGTGATTGACAAATGCAGAAAACAAGGCTCAGAGGGACACAGTGACTTGTCCAAGGGCTCATATGTTCCTCAACAGCAAAGTCTGACCCAGAACACAGGGCAGCAGAGGCCAACGGTCATATAAGACACAGAGAGAACCCTCTGCAGGCTCTACTCTCCCTAAAGAAATTGGAAACTCCACACACATAACTAAATTCTGAAAAATAAAAATAATAGAACTTTTTATTTATGTATTTTTTGGAGAGGAAGTGAACAGAGAAGTAGCATCATAGCTTGTCTGTAAAATGCAGACTTTGTTGAATTACCAATGAAATGAAGGCCAGAGTTTCTTAACATCAGCCTTTTCCAGTTACTCTGCTCCCCTCTCCCCACCCCACCCTATTTCTACTTTTTTCAATTTATACTGTGAGGCCGTGTGCTTACATTAAGACCTCTTTGGGCAAGGTGAGAAGTTTCAGGCTGGGGCAATAATGCGTGGCCCACTAAAAACACACAAAAAAACTATCACAGCTAAGCTATCCAATAATGTGAAAATAGTTTTTCTCCCACCTTAGGAGCTCCAGCATGGGACAACTAGGAAAGCCAAATTCATTAAGGCACACTGATAACTCAAGGGTCAGGACCCAAAGGTCCCCTCATAGGACATGATTAAACCCTGAGACCATTCAGGTGTTTCTGGAGAAACCTCAGCCTAGAGTCTACCAAGGGCTACTCGGCCAAGTGGGAGCACTGAAGAGAGAGTCCAGACAATATGAGGAAGAGCCTGGATTTTAGCTGGCCCCTAGGAGACAGCCCTCGCCTGAAACTGCTCTGCTGTCCAAGATTTCCAGAGCAAAGCATTTATCTGCAGAGATCATTTGACAGAAAGCTATACCAAGAGTATGCTTGTTTATCGCTCTGGTCGGCACACTCCCTGGCGGGTGTCTCCCAGAATTCAGAGGGCGCTAATCCAAGCCACACACTGTGAACTTGAGCATACAGACCCAAAGCAGGAAACCATCCTGCCCAAGCTTACACCACATGCCAAGGCTATGGGATGGACCTATGCTTGACCTCCAGTCTAGAGCTGTTCCCTTTCTCTAGACCTCCAGTCTAGAGCTCCTCTCTGCTAGGCCCACTCCCTCTTCCAAAACCCTGGGCTCACCTCCCGGTTCTGAGGATCCCGCCAGGTTGAACAATGCTCAGAAGCAGGTGACAGTTTAGCAATTCATCCAGTGGGACATTTGTAGGCCAGAGCAGCAGGGGCTGTGCCTGTCCCCAGTGGCAAGGAGAGACTGCCGCGTGGAACTTTGAAAGGGTTCTCTCTTGCCTAAAGGATCCTGATCCTCCTCCTCCTCCTCCTCCTCCCCTTCTCCCTCCTCCTTTTCCTCCTCTGTAGTACTACGGAGACATGTGCTCTGCTTGGGAAGAGGTAAGGAGGAAGATGCAGCTGTTTATTGGAAGGAGAAGAGCAACAATCTGCTGAGCTGGGCTTTATACTCACACCTAACAGAAGACGAATGGAAAAAAAAAACAGCTCTATCTGCTGCCACAGAATTATTAACCCTTGGGCTCCAGCTTAGCTCCTCAGACAGCTGAAGCAGCGAGAGAAACAATACACTTAACCAATGGAGTGCCAGCCAAAGACATTACATCATCGGTCAGCACTGTCATTGGCTAATAATTCCTAGAAGGCAAAATTCTGCTTTTAGGTGCTTAACCCTTTCATGTTCATCATAGCAATGACTCAAGTATTTGGTCAAGCCAATGGTTCCTGGACTTGCTTTTACCAGGATCATGTGGGCGGCTTTCTAAACATACAGAACGCTGTGCTCCATCCTGAACCATCAGAGCCTTCAGAGGAAAGATGGATATCTGTATTTCAAATAGTGCAGAGTGTGAGGACTTAACTAGTCTTTTCAGAAACTCTTCCTCTCCAAAAGATAAAAAAGATATTGTTTTTATGAGCATTTATTATGTACTTAATGCTTTACAGTGTCATTTCATTTATTTCCTACATTAAGCAATACACATTATTGGCTCCATTTCATAGGTATAAAAAGTAAGGTTCAGAGAGAATAAGTCACTTGCTCAAGAGATGAAGCTTGGCTTTGAAAACCAGGCTGTTTGCACTCTACCTGGCTACCCCTCTGAAGCTTGAAATCAAACTAGGCCAGTTGTCTGCTTACTACTTCCAGAGTTATAGAAAATATAGGAAACCCTCTCAATAAGTTGGAAAATGCCAGTAACCTATGAAGAACTGGGGAATAAAGAGAATGGTGAATTCCCATAGAAGGTATTCAGGTATCATGAACCCTCCAGAGAATCATCTCTTTCTCAGGCTCCATCTTTCTGCTTCTGCTGCAAATATTAGCTTGCGGTCATTTTCTCTAGGAAGCTTCCTGCTACTCCCAAAATTGGGGCGAATGCTCCTGCTCCAGGTTCCTAAGGTGCCCTGTATCAGTGGACTGCAGTTGCTTGTTTACTGGGTAAACTCCACAAAATTAGAGCCATTTCTACTTTCTCCACCAACATATGCCCAGCACAGTGCCTGCCACATGTGAGTATTCAGTCAGGGTGGAGAGAGGAGGAGGGGAGGGAAGGCCCTTGCTAAAGTTCTAAATGGCATCATGCTGAGACGGGAATGGCAAAGCACTGTAAGCCAGAAGATGCTCAAGAACAAAGTGTCTGACCTCAGGCAAGTTCATGTGGGGACCGGGAGCGGGGTTAGTTTCCTCATCTGAAAATGAAGACAAGAGCACCTCCTTCATTGGTAGGTATGAAGATCAAATTAAAGAATGATCCAGGCTGTGATATGCTCCTTTACACTGTCTCTCCCTAGATCTCATCCATTTTTGTTGGCTGACATCTAAGTGCTGACAACTCCCATATTTATATCTCCAGCCCAGACCTCCCCCTAGGCTCCATGTGGATGTCTCACGGGTATCTCTAAGACAGCACGTGAATTCTACAACCTGCTCCCCTCCCAGTCTCCTCCACTCTGTTATTGGTTCTCCCATCCACCCAATTTTTCCTTTTTTCTTTTTTTTGGGGGGAAATTGAGATGAAATTCACATAACACAAAATTAACCATCTTAAAGTGTACAATTCAGTGACATTTAGTACATTCATAATGTTGTGCAACCACCATCTCTTTCTAGTTCCAAAACATTTTCATCAATCCAAAAGGAAACTGTTTACCCTTTAAGCAATTATGCCTCATTTACCCTTTTCCCCCAAGTCTCCGACAAACAGCAATCTGCTTTCTGTCTCTACGGATTTGTCTACTCTAGACATTTTATATAAATGAAATCATACAACACGTGACCTTTTTTGTCTTTCTTTCACTTAGCATCTTTTTTGAGGTTCATTCACATTATAGCATATAGGAGCACTTCATTCCTTTTTATGGCTGAGTAATATTCTACTGTCAGTATATACTACATTTTATTTATCCATTCACCTGTTGATGGGCATTTGGCATCTACCCAATCTTAAACTGTAAACCCACAGGTCACCCTTGATTCTTCCTTTTCCTCTATTCCCAACATCTAATGTGTCAACAAGTCCTTGTCCACTTTACAACCAAATATAACTCTATTCTTTCTACTTCTCTCCAATACCACTGCTGTTCTGTACCTAAGACACTAACATCTCTCTCACCTAACTCTGAGTTTGTGACAAAATCCTATTGCTCTCCCTCCTCCATTTTTCACTTGGTAGCTACAATAAACCAGATCATCCATTAACTCTAGCAATATTTACTGAACACTTTTCTTCATGGGGCTTGCCTCCTAGAGGCATGACAGGCAACAAACAAATATATGTTACAACCTTAAGTCATCATTAGGCTTAAAACCCCTCAGTGACCTTTACTGCATTTTGAATAAAATCCAAGCTCAGCATGGCTTTCCAAGGATGCGTCTACTTCTCCAAATTCATCTCAGGCTGTTCCCCAGTCACACTGGGCTCCATTCCTCCACCTCATGATCCTTGAACAAGCTGCTCTCTCTGACTCTTGATCTTGGCATTGCTTGGTATTGCTGGGTCCTTCTCATCCCTCAGATCTCAATATAAATATCACTCCTCAATATGACCTTCCCTAACCATCCTGTTAAGCAAATCTACACCTTACTCATTTCACTCATTCAAGAAATCTGTATTAATCACTGTGCTGGGATCTTGGGATAAAGCAATATGTGACCTCCTGAAGCTTCAGTCTACTGAGGAGGACCACCAACAAGGAAATTAATAAAATGAATGATCAAGTTCTATGACAGGAGAGTAAAAGGGAGACCTGCCTTACACAGAAGGGTCCAAGAAACCTTTCCGAGGAGGTTATACTAAAACTGAAGAATGAGAAAGTAAATTGGGAAAAGGGACTATTTTTTTATGCAACAGGATGTTCTATCCTTCAATGTTTGCTCCTGAACAATCAAAGCATTTAATGTCTGTCTCTCCCCTGATAGACTCCACTGCATTCCCAGCACCTAGGACAGCACCCTGCCATTTAGGAAGCACTCACTGCACATTGTTGGAATTAATAATTGATAAATAAATTAATTAATTAACCATCAGTGAAATCACTTCATGGTGTATAACAAATTACACTGTTTTGATTTCTGCTGTTGTTATTGCTATTATTTTATGGCAAAGGATGCATACTCTGTTGTGTTTTGGAAAAGACCAGGTTGACTATAAAACAAAAGTACCCGACTCCGAATATTACTAGACAACTAGGAGAGAAGGCATATAGGTAATAGGCACTCAGTAATGGGAAGTGGTAGTCATTGTGGCTATTATAATTAAATTCCTTTCTTCTAAAAATCCTATTTACCCAACTCTAACTTCCCAATTCACTTTCAGACACAGTCAAGAAGTTTAAAGGCAAGAGAAATGAACTCTTTTTAAACGCCTGTTCTGCACTGATGTAGTGCCAACCAGTTTCTGTCAAGTTACTACATTTACTTCCCAAGGCCATCCTGCAGAGGTGGCTGCTGTGGCACAGCTCTCAATCCCCCCAATTCCCCAGCCTCAGTTGACCCCCTGAAGTATGAGGTCCAAGCCTTTGAAGCCCCATGTTGACCATAACCAAAGTTATGACCCCCCTGCATCTACTGGCTGGTCAACATGGGGCTTCAAAGGCTTGGCCCCTGTACTTCAGGGGATCAACTGAGGCTTCTTTTGCACTGCATCACAGGTCCACTTCTCCCTCTGCCCAATCTTGTTTTCCTTACCCCTCACCCCCTTGGACAGTGAGACCACTCCCCCAAAGTCCCACAAACCTCTGAATCTCTGAGTCTTTCTCCAGGGAACCTGACCTAATAAAGGTAGTTATGATATTTCCCTTTGAGTCACAAAACTGAAACTCAGAAAGGTTGATTACACCCTCCAGGCACATAACTAAATGACCTTCTGATCTGACTCCCCAGTGACACCTTGCTTTTAACTACAGCCTCTAATAGCTGAGACACTGCCTCTGGAAGACAGAAAAGAGAAGGGGAGAGGTACCCTTCCATTCTCCAGAGTCCAACCCTGATGACAAGGTTGAGCTCAAAGCCTCCAGAAACAATATAAAATGGCCTGCAAGTTGCAGAATCAAGTGTAACGTGGGCTACATCTCCTGCCCCCAGTCCATGCCTGGTGGCCAGGGAGCAAGGCTCCTGGGCAGCTAGGGCTGCCTTCTGGAACCAGAGTATTCACAGCCAAGTCCGTACAGCAACTACAACTTAAGCAGCTCTCTCTGCTGCTCTGGTCTCCATCCATTTTCCACAGAGCTGCCAGAGTGACCTGGTCACTGGTCAGAATTCCTCCACTGCACTCCATCCCAGGACAAAATTCAGATAGTCTAAGGCTGCATTCTTAAGGCCGGAGCGCGTTTTAGCCTCCTGCCATGCCCACAGCTCTTTTCCTACCCACAGTAAGCCTTAGTCCGATGTGATTATCTGATGGAATACTGGACTTTTTCAGCTTCCTTAGCCTCGCACAAGAAAATCTATGTGGAATTCCCGCTGTCCCACCAGCCCTCCCCCTGTACCCCCTCCCAGCAGCTCTGAGCGGGGCTAACCCTCCAGTCCTCACTCAGTGGTCACCTCCGCCCTGAAGCCCTCCAGGCTCCTCACTCCTGCTCTCCACCTCAAGTCCCCCGTACTGCAGTGTTCGGTAACTGTTCCTCCTACTGTCCTTCTTGGCCCCAAGAGGCCCTCCAAAGCCCGTCTTCGTACACCAAGGCTCAGTACAGTGCCTGGCACACAGCAGGGAGAGCCGGGTAAAGGCTGAATAAATATACGGGGCGCGGCAACCGGGGCCAGTCTTCGCTCCGAGCTCGGCCGAGGAGCCGATCGGAGATCTCCTCCTGCGCCTCAGGACGCGTGGAAATAGGAAATGGGGTGATAAACCTGACCCCCAGCCCCAGGCCAACAGGTCCTGGGGGGTCTGAAG